GGGGGGCAGGAGGGCTGAGAATTAGAATTGACAGACCCCGGGCCTGGCCGGGGCCGACGCGCCGTGGGGTGCGGTGCGGGGCACGTCGGGCGTCGACCACTGATTTAGTCGTGATTCAGCGTCGGTCTGGAGCCGAGCGGTCGGCGACGTGAGGCCGGGGCGAACAGAGGTTATCCCTCAACGGCAGCCCAGACTGTGCGGCTCTCACGCGAGTGTGTATGAGTGTTGAGTCTCGGGGGCGGCCGCGCGCGGAGAGCACGTTTTATAGCCTGCTGCTGCGGCCAGTCTCTGCCCCGCCCCGCAGTCGCTAAAGCCCGGCATTTGGCCAATGCCCGCCCCCTCTCTGCCCCAACCCCCTCCGAGTGGGACCGACCGGACGACACGGGCGTCCTGTTGTTGGTGGCAGATTGCCCCCCTCGCTCGGGGTTACGACCATCCCTCCTCCGCCAGGTCTGGAAGTGCGCGACGTGCATGACCTCGGCGCGGGTGCAGAGTGGCCCCGCCCCGAGACGGGACGGGTGTTTCAGAGTCCCGCCCCTCACGATTCGACCCCGACTCCTGCCTGAGACGGCTGAGTTTGGCGCTTTGTGAGAGCCCCCCTCTTGCCCCTGCAGTGCAGCGCATGTTAGGCACGATCGCACGTTCGGCTTCGAAGTGCGCCGTCGCCAAGCTCGACTTTTTTCTTTGCGCCATTTACTAACCACCCACCTCGTTTGTTGCAGGTAGTCAGCATGCTGCTGCACTTGTTGGCGCTGCTGGCGGCGCTCAACGCCGTGCTCGCGGACAAGGGCCTCGGGGGGCTGGGCGGCCTCGGAGGCCCCCACCCCGGGCCGCATCCGGGCCTCAGCCCCGCCGGTGGCGTGGGCTCGGCGTCGGCCGCCCTGGGCCGCTGCGAGGAGATCACCATCCCCATGTGCCGCGGCATCGGCTACAACCTGACGTCCATGCCCAATGAGCTGAACCACGACACGCAGGTGAGTCTTGAATGGTGCTTTATGTCACCAGGTGGCTGAAAACCCGTTCAATTTTGTCGATATTGCACCGCCGCCATACGGCCCCGAGCGTGTAGGCAACCCATGCACACGCGTGCATGCGGTGCAGTATAACTACGAAGGCTGACTACAGTTTTCAGCGGTCTAAACGCACAATGCCAACCTCTAACTGTTTTCGCCTTGTTGCATTATTAGGACGAGGCTGGCCTCGAGGTGCACCAGTTCTGGCCGCTGGTGGAGATCAAGTGCTCGGAGGACCTCAAGTTCTTCCTGTGCTCGCTGTACGCGCCCATCTGCATCCCGGACTACCCGCAGCCGCTGCCCGCGTGCCGCTCGGTGTGCGAGCGCGCCAAGGACGGCTGCCAGCCGCTCATGCAGCAGTACGGCTTCCAGTGGCCCGAGCGCATGAACTGCGACAAGCTGCCCGTGCACGGCGACCACGACAACCTGTGCATGCAGCCGGACAACCAGCCCGGGCCGGAGATGGGCGGTATGCCCGGGCACGGGCCGGGCGGCGGCGGCAGGCACCCGGGCCCCACCAAGAGGCCGCCCTCGGGCAGCCTGTTCCCCACGGCTACGCCCAAGTGCAAGCCCGGCAAGAACGGCAAGGGTTGCGACCGAGGAGGCGCGAGCCATGCGCCCACCGGACGGGAACGAGAATGCCCCTGCAGGTAATTGCCGGTGCTATACCCACACACTATTTGCAGTTGTCCATGGAATTTTACGACCAATTTGTAGTGACGTGGTGACTCAACTCGCTCCATGTATTCTTCCAACAGGTGTAGACACCCGCTTGTACCTCTGGAGCGAAACTCGACGTGGTACAACCGCAACATCAGCGTGGCCGAGGTGGAGAACTGCGCCTTCCCGTGCCGGGGCGTTTTCTTCTCGCAGGAGGAGAAGGACTTCGCCGAGGTTTGGATCTCGCTGTGGTCCGGTCTGTGCGCACTGTCCACGTTCATGACCATCACGACGTTCCTCATCGACCGGCAGCGCTTCAAGTACCCCGAAAGGCCCATTGTCTTCTTATCTGGCTGCTACCTCATGGTGAGTTTCGTCTCTAGCGGGGACGCTATGTCATTCCGGTTGTAAAGTGTGACTCGTTTTCTTAAATGTCATTTTCCTTTCTGCAGGTGAGCGTGGGCTACTTGATCCGCGTGGGACTTGGCCACGACGAGGTGGCGTGCGAAGGCGGCATGATCCGGTACAGCGCGCACGCGCACGGCCCTCACGCCCACAGCCAGGGCCAGGGCCCCGTGGCGTGCACCATCGTCTTCCTGCTCGTGTACTACTTCGGCATGGCCTCCTCCATCTGGTGGGTGGTGCTGACGCTGACGTGGTTCCTGGCCGCGGGTCTCAAGTGGGGCAACGAGGCCATCGCCGGCTACTCGCAGTACTTCCACTTGGCGGCCTGGCTGGTGCCGACGGTCCAGACGGTGGCTGTGCTCGTGATGGCCGCGGTCGACGGGGACCCCGTCGCCGGCATCTGCTACGTGGGCAACCAGAACGCCGACAACCTGCGCGTGTTCGTGCTGCTGCCGCTGCTGCTCTACCTGCTGCTCGGGCTGTCCTTCTTGGTCGGCGGCTTCGTGTCGCTCTTCCGCATCAGAAGCGTCATCAAGCAGCAGGGCGGCATGGGCGGCCGCAGCAAGGCCTACAAGCTGGAGAAGCTCATGATCCGCATCGGCATCTTCAGCGTGCTGTACGCCGTGCCCGCCACCATCGTCATCGGCTGCCACCTGTACGAGAGCTCGCTCTTCGGGGACTGGATGAAGCCGCTCACGTGCCAGTGCGGCGCGACCCCGGCCACGCCACAGCGTCCGCTGTACTCGGTGCTCATGCTCAAGTACTTCATGGCGCTGGCGGTGGGCATCACCTCGGGCGTCTGGATCTGGTCCGGCAAGACTCTGGACTCGTGGCGTCGCCTATGGGCGCGGTTGTGCGGGCGGCGGCCGCTCGGCGGCCCCGGGGGCGGCGCGGGCTGCGGGGGCAGCGTGCTGATCGCCAAGCCTCACCACCCGCACTCGCACCCCCATCTGCTGCCCATGCCGCTGCCGCCGCACTCCACGGGCGTGGGCTCCTCGCTGCTGAGCGCGCCCAGCCTGCACGTCAACCCCCACGGCAGCCACGGGATGGGCCTCGGAGGCCTCGGCCACGGCGCCCCCAGCGTGCAGAGCTCGCTGTACCTCAAGCAGCAGCCGCTGAGCCACGTATGACAGAGGCAAAGCCCCGAGGGGCCCGAGACCGACGAGGTCGACGACGAGCCTGACCAGGTTCGCCACGCTCCAGCCGGTGGCCAGGGCCACCTCCGGGGACCTCTCAGCAACTACGGGCCCATCTAAGTGCGACGCGGCGCAGTGCAGTGCTGTGTGACGCTCGAAGTGTAAACGTGTTGGTGCTAGTCAATTGACGATGTGGACGCAGAGGGTGGGCAGTGCGGGGAACTGAGGATGATCCATAGAAGTATAGGATAGGGCTGGGGACTTGAGACGGTCGCGTCTTCCCACGTACTCACTTTCGGTACTCGTGGAAGATCGACAAACTGACAAAGGTCTCCGTCCATATTACGTCCAACTTATTTTAAAACTTACTTCAGTTCCTCTCACTGTCGCCGAGAGTCAACCTTAAGTTTGTATGTGTGTGTCTTTGTTTAAATGCGTGAGTGAGTGAGTGTGTGAAATTATGAGTGGATACGGTGGTCGTGGGTCGAAAATAGCAATTGTGCCATTGTCCTCTTTACTGCCAAAGCATTAGCGGTGGCTGTGTTTCAGATTTGCCATCCTGTTCTAGGTCAAACATATTCTGCGAAATATGAAAGTTTACTTCATTCTTGTACTATTATTTTTCAAACGTCATGAAATGGCATAGACTGTGCTAAACAATGTACTGATTAAAGTTTAGCCTTAATCATAGTCGTCATAGTCACCCACTGTTTGTGATGACTTGATCCACAACATATGTACAAATGTAACTTCATGAAATCATTTTAGTTCTAGTTTTACTAACTATTGTACAAATTCTAGTAATGAAATCAATGTCAAATACAACCTAAAGAACAACAAGTAAATCACTTGTAGTTATGATCAATTGATTTTTTTTTCTTTATAGCCCTTTTGTTTTTGTTTTTGTTTCAAAGAGTGTATTTTGTACATATATAGAAAATATCTATACAGAGGAATTTACTCCAATTTACTTCCCCCTTTTGTTTTTACTGTTCGGCACAATTTCTTGTTTCCTCAAAAAGCAGAAGGAACTTCGATCTCCAATACTTGTTGACGAGTTTTTTCTGACCATTTTATTATGACCATTCCCTATCTATATGATCCAGAGGTTTAGTTTTCTGTGTTTCTTTGTGCAGAATTTGTTAAAAGAAATGTTGAACTATTTCTAGTAGAATACCATCTAGCTCCTAGATTTGCAAATGGTCTTACTCCTAGATGTGCTTCCTTGTGATTTAAAAAAAATCCTAATAACCCAATATTTGTAAAATGTGTCATTAGTCGTATTATTTTCAATTTTCAACTGATGAACTGAATATCTTTTAAAATCAATCGTTGTTTATGATTGGTTAAGTGAAGTATTGCATTTTTATGTCTAGCCATTTGTTCAACTCATGTAGAAATGTTTATCTCTACACTTACTGACAATTCTTCATCCTGGTGTGGTATGATCTAATTTTACCTCACATCTTTCATTATCACTTGACTATAGTTAAATGTTAACCTAAACTGCCATCTGTTCTGATACATATTTTCTTGAACTCTGGATTTTTAATTGGATTGTTTCGAAAGAGAGGTGTAATGAACTAATGCCTATCATACGTAATTTTGAGGATATGGTGGTTTAAATCTTAGATTTATTCCCTGTAAAAGTTGAGTTTTATGCTAAATTCATAGTATTAAACTGGTTAGTTTTAAACTCTTCCCTCTTTTCTGCCGTCTCACTAGAATCATACTTCTAGTCTCTCATGAATAAGATCTGTGACCATAGAGGTACATAATAAAAAGAGTGCATAGGATTTTCAGATTTCTTGGTACACTGGATGTTTAATCAATTGTAGAAAGCAGTATTCATTCTAGGGACATCCTGTTTTGATATACGTACTTATGTATAAAACCTCAAGTTCATGCATTTACATGTTTTCATAGCAAGCAATTGAGCTGTTGCAAAAATCCTTTTAGTATGTTTCACTTTGCTTGTTCCTTTTCTATTTGTATGTTCACATTCCTTAGCTTTTAACTGCAGTGTCTTAACAACAATCTCTAAAACTGCTATTCAACTTGTTGCTTGAAATGCTTTCAATAGTCTGTGATGTATTAAGCATGAACTATTTATTTTGTGATATTGATTCTCTTTGATTGTGCCATTTCCTTTTTCCTGCTTGAAGAACATATCAACATAGTCTTGTTGCTGGGTTGTTGAATCATTTTTTTTTTCTCAACTGCCCACTTCACTTCTTGTATCTTCTCTTTTTTGGTGTACCACTGCAATTTTTTTTTATTTTTTTTGCCAGTAATCCCATCACTTGCCGACCAACTGTATACGACTAGCTAAGCTGTACAGGATTGTTCTGTTTGTTATTTATAATGTTACTATTGAATCTTTCTGTTCAGGTAATTTCTAGTAGCAACCCTTACTAAATAAACAAAAAGCCTGATTATTAACAAAGCATTTCCTCTTTTATTTAGTATCTACTTACCCTACTTTTCCCTTACCTAATGTGTCTTACTGTGAACCAGACTAGGGGCCTGCAGGCAAGTATTCTTGAATCTTTCCTACATCAGTTTCAATTTGCCACAGCTGTATGACATTATGCTCAGTAAAAATACAAATGATGTGGTCTACACTGTTATTAGCAATGTATTTATTTTTCACACTTTGTCACACTTGTCTTGTTAAGTTTCCTTAAACCAGGACAAATATTTACAGCACAAGAGTCTCATTACACTACACCATGGGCTGAAATAAACTAACAAAATACAACAAAATGGGTTTCAATTTTATAAAAATATAACAAAATAAATACCTTAAAGGATGTTTAAGTAAACAATAGTAAGGTGGTGTATTCTTGTATTCAAGGTGGCTGTCTCCTTGCACGCAAAATACAACCAACCTAAAGCACAACTTAAATGGAAGAGCACCACAATTTAGAAGTAACAAAAAATAATGGGGTGTCCAAGAAAAACAACATAAAGATCAAAAACAGAAATCATTTACATATGATTACCAAGGTACTTGTATAGGACCAACCTATTTTTCAAGAATTCTGCAGAGTTATTAACCGAGACCCAACAACCAATGCATCGGTGAAAAACAACAAATGTAAACCAAAAATCAATCAAACAGGATATGTAGACTAGCCCCCCATCATCAAAACTCACACTGGCCATTTACTAGCATAAATTAGAATTCAATGAGGGAAAAAAACAGCAAGAGGCCCTAAGATCCTACTTAATTAATTTAGAATCTGCAAAGTGCATCAACAAAGATTGATGTAAAAGAAGTGTCTCTTATCTGAAATCAGCCTACATAATATTATTACGGTATCAATTTCAAAATTATTCTATACCAGACTAAGTATGAGATAACAGCCAAAATTTTGAGGAAAAAAGGAAGCAGCATCATAAGCTATCTAAAAACAAACAAAAAGATTGTAATACACTAAACCTGATGCTGTTGTGCTGTTTGGTCCATAGACAACTAAAGCTGGTTACAAATCGTTGCACATTGTGACAGTGACTAAATACTGAACACAAAAATCACAGATCAGACAATACATGTGATGTGTGGAATACTGACTAGTAGGAAGTGCACGTTCGCTTCTTGAAATAAGCATCAACAAGCCATTGTTTTAATCCACATACTTAAATACACGAACACAAAATCACATGTTGCACTGATTGACATATGTACTACACACATCTTGTGCTCTATGTAAGTATCGAGGCTTCTTTTAGCTCAAAGTAATTGTAAGTCTTATAACATTTCTATGTTTATCACTAAATTGACATCAAAACTAAGCATACAAATATAATTTGACATACAATATGACAGGCAGGCAGCAGCAGACTAACTGATCGTGTAAATACCATAAGCAGAAAAATCTTAACAATCTATAATAGAATCATCAAAGTGTCACACAGTATTAACATGACACAACTATAAAGGGTGTCATATTTACAAGATATAGCATAATTTAATATTGCTAGTAGAAGACAAATATGTAGAATAATTACCACGTGCAGACATGACATCAAATTCTCTAATTTCAATGGCAACTAACAATCTAAAAAGCCAAAAAAGACAGTATAGAAAAATAGTTGATGCAGCAAACATAAGCTTAGGGTTCAACTAAGTTTAAAGGTACATTTGGTGTTTAAGTTTTTTGTTTGGTGTTTAAGCTTTTGTCAATCTCAGTTTCCGAGTATTGACAATTACAACAAAGCACACCAAACACTAAAAGTTTGATATTCTTGACAAGAAGTCAGAAGAAGAGCCTCGGTTAAATTGTGCACACTAATTACTTTAAACAGTCATGAAGAAGGGCATAATTATAAGTAATTTTGTGACATTACAATAGATCACAGTTTAAAATCCCATAAATAACTTCTTGGATTGAGATCCAACATATCTGTAATTTCCATTGGCAAATTTCTTATTTGATGAAAGATACACTACTAAAAATGAATTTCATAAATCACAAATGTTGAATTAAGTAACTAACAGCCTACAAAAGAAAACAGGTTCTAAAGAACTGAATGTGTAAAGAGCGCACACACACGTACATCAACATTCTCATTGAGAGAAAAGCAATTAGACTTAAAATGAAAGATCCATCTTACATCATACAAAAGTCTGATCTTGCTGCACTTCAAATCCACTTTAGTCTCTAGTTCAATTAAAGCTCAGTAGACCTCAGTCTTTCCAGGCACTTACCTAATACAATACCCCTACCAGCCATTTATGTGCCTCACCTCCACTTTCCTTACTTGCAAGAAGCATATTAAAGTTTATGACTGAACAATGGGAAAAAAAAATCATTGCCAAGAATCATAAATACAAGCGGCTTTCACATGTTGTTCGTTCAGAGACCAGCCGGGACGGGAGGGAGGGCAAAACAAAAGAATAGGGGGCGGGGGGGGGGGGTAGACTTTGGCAGGCAAAGGGAGAGCTTCACAGAAAAATATCACCATTCCCTTAAACTACAGGCAGGGGGCCACAAGGGGATGAAATCAGCATTGATTCCAGACTCTACACACCACTAAAGCTACCTAAATATCAATTCATAAAATACTGACAATAGATATTAAATAAGGGACATTGAAGATACAAATTTTAGGAGCAAACAAAATTACTAGTATGAGTAAACAAGCAAGACAGTTCACTAAAACTTCAGCTCTGAAATCGGCTTGAAAGCCATTCTATGAAAAGATCACAGACAGATATATGACTACTCCAGACACACAAATAATTCACTAAAATACAGACGTAAGAAAGTTAATAAGTAAGCAAATTTTTAAAAATCACTATAAATACATAATAGAACTGCTATTGCTCTCTGCAAAACAAATCCTTCTCATTGGATATTCACAGTTAATGTTACATAGTTTATCTTCAAGAGAGGTACAATTTTCATACAGTAGTTTATCCATAAAAGCAAAAATCATTAGAACCATTTGATTTTCTCACATTTTGACTTCTAAACATACAAAGAAAATAAAACACATGTTGTTTCTTCACTTAAAATTTGCTAAAATCGTCCTCATTTTTCCCCTTTGCTTAGTCACAACAATACAACTATACTTGTGATATGAACAACAGTCATTCATTATGTATGCCATTTACACCCAAACAGAAAGACAAGGGGTCACAGTGCAAATAAATGCAAGAGCTGTGTGCCATTAAATTAATTATTCATGGGGAAGGTAAAATGACCAAAGTCATGAAACAAACTAGCTCACAGATAAAATTTGGGATTACACAATTAGATAGACAACACCCACTTCACGAGTAAATGGGTGCCAAAGTAGGTCAGTTTGAGACTATGCTCTTGGTAAAAGGCTTTACTGTAGTTTTCTATGTAAAAATAGTCATTGCTTTTTGACAAGTATTGTCACCACAGAGGGGCAACATCAATCAAAGAAGAAATATCTGCTCCTTTCTTCTGATATGCATTACATGAACCGAAAAAGGGTTAAATCTTACAACGTATTCAAGAAAGATACACCATAGTAAAAAATAATTAAGCAAATCTTCAAAAAACTCATTATTATCCAAAGTTCCCTACTGTTGATTTAAGGAAATTATTGCAGTCTGAGGGAATTTGCAACAATGATAGAGATTTCAGCACCATTACGATTCATTTGACGCATTAACTCCTTTGACAAACGTCAGTATAACTGGTCCACAGTTTTGAATTAAATTTTAAGGGGACACACTGCTTTAAAAAGAACTCTGGTTACTGGAAACTAGATTTGTCTTAGATATTCATCACCAAGTAACAAGCAATTGTGCAACAGAAAATTGGACATAAATTAGATTTAGATGAGTGTTAACACTCTGCAGCCTATGTTTTAATGATAAAAAGCATCATATAGACATACATAATTCTGTTTCCAGACACCTAAAAAATAGAATTATTGATTAATGATTTGTGTTTTCCAATTTTGAAATCAAAAGAAGACGTGAAAGAGGATTATTGCTTTTAGGATTTCATGTCACAGAGAAAAAGACAAAGAATTCTGAACATGAACACATGCACCCATCAAAAATAAATAAAAACTCTTATGTACAAAAGGCAAGGGTAACATTTCATCATTAGGCCTTGATTCTAAACTGAACACTACAACTATATTATATACATGAAGCCTTAGTAGTTACACATGTGCTGCATTTGTTGGTTATTGAACACTTCCCCTTCCACTCATTGTAATTGATACAACTAAAAAAAGGAAAACGCAATTTAAATATTACGTAACATTACTTACTAATTAGGTAAAGGATAGTCTCAAAATAAAAATTTCTCCCAGTAGTGACCAAAGGAAAACGCTTAGGTTGAACACACCACTACACATTCACTTAGCCATGTGCAGTTATTTGCTAAAACTATCTAGATACGTACCTCTCATAAATTTTCTTTAATCTTTGATATGCTGCACTTTCCCAAGAAAACAGAAATAATCGAGGCCTGAAGTGGATTAAATCTTACACCAAGTTACCTCTCCAACCAAAACATCTTATTCAGAAATATCAGATTTCCTCCTTTTTTATTTTTACACCACTTCATCCTATAGATACCTACTTTAAAAATGTTATTTGCTTGTGAAATCTCCACACAACAAAACATACACAGGAGAAAAGGTTAATATAGTACACTGTATATCAAGACGTTTTAGGAGAAAGAAAATTTGAAACAAAATTGCATCATAGTTAAAGTATAACAATTCATGTTGTCCCATAGTTGATGCAGCTTTTCTTATTGTGGAAGACAAATCTTCGCTAATAATTACTTCATTCAGAATGACTTAGTGTGAATATCGTCCTCATGCTTCTATGAAAACTTTTAAGGTCTTTGACACATGGTGGTCCCGAAGAAATAAAGACCATTTTTGTCCATAAAGTTACATAAGAAAATTATGTACTGTTGAATTCTGTTTCTTCATGACGGAATTCCTTTTTCAAGAAATTACTACCTCAAAGTATTACTTATTGAAAGGGAGACAATGGGGCAAATGCATGATCTGAGAGAATCTTATATGGTCAACTTAAACATACGTGTATAAAATAGTCCTCTAGATCCACTGAAACTTAAAAGTTAAGACTACTTTGTCAATTTTGTCAATGCAGTAGATGAACATCAAAGAGCAAATGACAAACAATTCCAAATACTGACTGATTCGGCAACAGCAAACAGTTTGAAAATGTGGCAATTCTATACAAACTCTGAAACTTTTTAAAAGTAAGTAGCATGTAAAGATAAGCATGACTCTACAATTTTGCACTATGCATTTATGTTCTGGAAAATGTAGCTAGAACTATAAAAAGGGATTAAACATTCATATTTGACACATCATCTTTGTCTAATGTTCTTATCTTTCTAGAAAGAAATGTAGGCCTTAGAGAATGGTCTTAAGATACTTAATAAGAAGACTTTTGACAGCATCATAAGGAAACAAAATCTTAAGATAAGCATAAAACACAGCCATTTGTAGTAGAAATGAGCTTAGTAACATTCATTTTAAGTACTGATGTACATCAATTCCATTATGCACCAGGTTTAAAGAAGAATTACATGCCACAGTCTGCCTTAAGCTACCACTAGCATAAAGTAACAACAATAAAAATTACGCTATCTAAGGAACGTTTACTACCAGTAAATAGAACAAGGAAATGCTTTACATTTTAACAGAAGACATCACACTAAAAGTTTTCATCAGACCACACTTATGATGTGGTATTTGTTTTCCTTCCTCCTCTAGGCTTGATTGACTCTGATATTTGCCACATAGCTTCTTCAGATAGAAATTCATCAAAATTACTAAAGAAAGCTATGATTCTCTCTTGCTTTTTAAATGAGTAAGTTCTAAAAGATAAAGGGTGACAATATATATTAGAAGCAGGTCAAAAATCACTGACAGTAAATTCAAGAGTAAACAAACACTGCTCACCCTTTTTTAAATCGCTTCATATTTTCTACAATATTGAACTGCTGCCATCGCTTAGAGAAGTTGATGGTCCCATCAGCAAGTAAATCACTGTTCCCTATATGTACAAATGTCAGGTCTTGAAGAACCAGCCCGCTGTAAATTAGATTAAAAAATTAATTACAGTACCTGTTGACAAGCAAATAAATAAATTTGAGGAAGAAATAACTTACATGTATGGTATACAAGGAGGATTTGTGTCAGCCAAAGCCTGTCTGTAAGCACGAAAACTAGATGAGCTATCAATCAAAGCACAATACTCTTTCAGCCCCTCTGTAATATGCTTTTGCCACTCAAGTCTTCTTATAGGAGCTGAATCCAATGCAGAAAGAAGAGCCAAATACGAGTTAAAGTTGTTCATTTTTCTAAGATGTTTCATGATTTTTATGAATTTAACAACATAACGCTCCCTGTCCTTTGCCTCTGCCTGTTCTAAGATCCGTGATCTGGCCCTGCAATGATAAGATAGTAAAATTATGTGGTGTACTTCAGTGATTCTGAAAAAAAACTTAGTACCGTGTGTCAGGGCTATGACACAACAGGTTTGCACATCCTCGGGGCCATGACACTTTACGGGTGGAGCGAGTAGGCAAACCCGCATACTGCTGTGTCACATGCCGTGACATATGGTACTGTAGATAAAAGAAAATTTTGTATTACCAATAGGACATTTTGTTAAAATGTTCAGTGAAACGGGTCAGGTTTGGACTTCTTTCTTCATTCTGCTCCTGAGCCCATATAAGAACTTCTGGTATTTCAATCTTCATGAAAAGTTGTGCATCTAGGAGAGTCATTTGCTCTGCTATTTGTTCAGACTTAAAGTCAAGTAGAGAGGCTTGTCTGCAATGCACAAAAATATTAATTTCTTTGTTCAATGGTACTTGAAGTAAAAGAAAACTTTGTAGCATAAACTAAAGAAAGAAAGGCCATTTAGATTTTATCACTAACCGATAGCGAGTGTAAACATTTTGTGAGGGCAAAAGGGTGTTAGTTGTATTACACAGCATTTTGGCACTGTGCTTTTCTAAAATCTTCACACGAAGAGCTTTGGCCATGGTGAGGTCACCACTTGATAAAAGCTGGTATGTGAAATTCATCAATGTTTGCAAAACTGTGTCATCCAAATCTGAAATACTAAAAAGAAAAGCAACGAAACCTCAAGGTTAATAATGAAAAGATTTAAGTTAAAGGTAAAGTACAAAATTGAAACAGACTTACGTTAGATCACTAACTACTCGGACCAATAGAGAAAATGATTCTTTTGCTGCTCTCTGCTTTGCCACTTCTGCAGAGCAATGAAATCGTTGATGACGAAAACAGAGCTTCTGTATTACCTCAAGAGGAGATAGAAACGTTCTATATGTAGTGAGAAAAGCCTCTTGGTATAAAAAGTCTGAAAAAAGAATGGAAAATGAAAGTATGAACTTACATGCTATTTAAAATTTGCAAAAACACACAATTGAATAATGATGTGATATGCACCTGTTTCATTTTCTTCTGAAAGAAGCAGCAAAAAATGAGACAAAAAAAAATTAAAACAATTATCAGTCAGCTGATTAAGAGCACAATTAGATCTCTACTTAAAAAGTAATAAGATTTAAGAATACTTACCATTTTTATTTGCCTTTGTTGCATGAACAACTAGACCATCTTCATGTCCTCCACGAATATCTGGCCCATCTTCATCTGATTTTTTCACAACCAAATGCCTCGTGACATCTAGTTCTTCTAAAGGGTTTCCTGTTTCTTCTGAAGACCCTGCTGGTCCTTTACCACTTCCCTCATTAAGTTGTGTTTGATTTGTCACCTGCTCAATGGCAGGAGGGGAATTAATGGAAAGGGAAACTGATACAGAAGCTGGTGGCAAAGGTGGTTTAGGAGATAAATCTAGTCTTGGTGGTATGACTTTCTTCTTTTCCTCTTTCCTAAAATTGTTTAACAAATCATCAAGTTACAAATTTTAAAATATTGAACTACATGACAAATGAACCAAGTTTCACAAACTAATATCTTACAACGCAGGAGGGTTTGCTGAAGTATTTGAAACAGGTGAAGATGGCGGTGGACTACTGACTGATCGTACACTGGAAGTACGGCTACGTTTTGGTGGCAGTGCTGGTGGGATGGACTGTACAACATCAGTTGCACTAGGAGAACTATTAAGGCTGTGAATGTGTACAAACGTTTTGATTAAGATTAAAGTCTATAGAAAATATCAAACATAAGATACAAAACAACAACAACAAAACGCGCCTACCTCTCTTTTTGATAGTAAAATGATCTAGACTGCACTGCAGTAAAATTATCTCGTTGCTGCCATTCAGTTTGAAGGACATTGTATGTATGCATGGAATGTCTGAGAAAGTCATTGTTGTTTGTGTGGGAACAGTTTCCAAACATTTCCATATAGGCCATGACTGCAACAGTTAAAATCAAAAGACATTAGTACTTCAAAAATTAAACACTAAATTTTATTCATACGTGAAGAAGTGTTAAAGTCAAATATCACCTAGAAAACAATTTTAAAAAAACAAAATAAAAAATAAATAAATCATGAGTCAAATAGTATATGTAAGCTTTAAATGGTAAAATATTCACTACACTTCTAGCTTCAAGAAAACAATAACACGTAAGAAAGGGATAGGGCACATCTTGTTGGCATGCAAGAAAAAAAGTGCTGGAAGCTGGGGAACAGAATTAACTTGGTAGGTGCGTTATGGGAAAGTATATAGCAAGTAGATAGTTCCTTACCCGAGTAAGCCACTGATTGGAACACTGAGGGACAAACATTAAATTAATTGTAATACAGAAATGCAGGAAAAAACATTTAGAAAGCTTAGAGAGAGAGACAGGAAAGTTTCACACAAAACCAGACACACGCACACATAAACACCTTTACCATCCATTAAAACCCGTCAATGTCAGCATGCCAAGTGTTTAAAGAGAGAATTGACAGTCAAGTCTCATAGGAGAAATGATGTACTTATCTATTCTTTAACTATTATCCCGAATAGAATACATTGCCACAGCAGTACAGTATAAGTAATTCTGGGTATATTATTTTTGTTAACTCCTTGTGTATGGTTATTTAAGTAAAAATAAAATAATTGTACTTACTATGCTTCTTCTTAAGAGGTAGAGGCGGAGGTTTTCCTGTCTCAGGACTTGGCCCACTAAGAGCCATAGCAGATTTGTGAGCAGGTAGCATTAAATTTGATGGAGATGTGGAGGATACTTGAAGTGCAGAATGCGATTGAGACTGCATAACTGTTGATGTGATTTGAGTTGCATGAAGGGAGCAGTTCATAGACTGTGGTGATGAAGAAGGAAGAGCAACTTCTAAACAAGGTGAGTCAGTTGTGTCATTGCCAGGTACGTTGTCATACTGAGATGGAAGGCGCTCGCGCTTAGGGCCTTGGCGGAAACGGTTTTTCTGAGGTAGAGCGGGTGGTGAACTCCCATTGCTAGCAGGAGATATCCTTTCAAAAACTCCGTCATCCACAGCCTGTAAACAAGATAAAAAAATAGAGCATAGTTCTCTTCGTAAAAGAATTAATACAGTACACAATGAGAATTTTAAAACAGGCCACATACACTAATTCCTAACAGAGCATCTTCTTCTAATGGAGTAAAGCCCAGCCGAGTTGTGGAGGAAGAAGAGGATGAAGACACTGAGACTGTCCGCTGAGATTGCGACATTACAGCCTGACTTGTGATGGACACTGAACTTTGCTGTGATGACCTGCAACAGAAGGTACGTGCAGAACAGAGAAGGATTAGCCTGATTAGCCTGAAAAGATTCCTGGCACTTCAGAAAACATTACACATAGCCGATTCAGGAGTTGGCCAATCCGGACTTACCTATGCTGCGAGGAGGTCGATGCGTAACGGATGGAGTGCATAGATGCGAAGCCAGACTCGGCCAACGACGCTGACATGTGCTGGGATTGTGTTTGACCAGGACCATGGACGTGGACGTGGTCAGGGGGCTCGGGACCGGCGCCCTCCCAACAGCAGCAAGGCGATGGTGAAGACGACGGCGAGGCGTCCCCACCCCCGTTGACGGCTCCCTTCGGCGTGCCTGGAGCCAGCCTGTTGAGCCAGGGCGATGGCCCTGTGCCCCCCGGACCATGGCCGTGGCCGCCCGACGAGGTGCAAGGGCTGCGGCTGCTGCGGCTGCTCCGCCCCGGACTGGGCCCTGGGCTGGGCCCGGGCGCGAGAGTGAGGGAGTCGCTGTGGCTGTCCGCCCGGTCAGTATCGTGCTCCGCCTCGGGCTCCATGAGAGCGCGCAGCTCCTCCTCTTCATCGCGGGAGTGGTTGAGGACAGAGTCAAGGCTCCCCGCGGATGCGCTCAGCAGTGAGGACGTGTCCTCGGGCGACTTGCTGCGCAGGCTGAGTCCCTCCAGACCGACCAGGGGACCCAGCCCGCTCGCGTGGGGTGGAGGTCCCAGCCCGTCCGACTGGCGGGGGCGGCGCTTGGGGGGCAGCGGGGGCGGCTCCCCACACGGCGAGGGCGACGAGCTCTCGGACAGACACCAGGGCCGGCCCGCGGGCAAGGGCGGCTTGGGGGGCGGCACGTCAGCTCCGTCCACGGTGTCCAGCAACACCGAGTCGGAGCTCTGCGAGTGGTGGTGATGGTGATGGTTATTGCGGTTGGCGTGGTGGTGGTGGTGGCGCTCTATCACGGACTGCGACGTCTGTTCCAGGATTTGTCTCTCGCGCGGCGTGAGCGGGATGTCCGGCAGGGAGCTCCGCTGGGGCAGCTCGAGCCCCGCCATGGAGTAGCTCGACTTGCGGTCCATCGCCTGCGGCACGGGCGGCGCAGACTTGAGGGGGCCGCTACTGGAGGACCCCGCCGATCCCGAAGACCCGACCGACCCGGAGCTGTGTCTGCTGGCAAGCTTCTCGCGCGCCAGCGTCACCAAGTTCAGCACGGCCTCCTCCACCAACTGGATCACCTGGGGAGCAGCAGCACAATGAGCAGGGCGGACAGAGAGCTTCGAACCCCAAAACGATTGTGGGTTGCTGACAGAGCGCGCGTCAGCAGGCAAGCCGGCGTCGTCAGCACCCTGCCGGTTGCCCACTTACCTGTGCCACGTTCTCCGTGTTGAGAGACTTGCCGCCGTTGAGCAGAACGTCGTCGCAGAGCTTGATCAGCTGCGCCATGCTCTGGTAGACCTGGTTGGTGGCCGACACGAGGATGGAGCTCTGCGCGCCCTGCTCGTTGAGGAGGCACGTCTTGAGCGCGCTGTGGATCGTGGCGACCGTCTCCAGCACCACGGTGCCATTGCCCGGCAGCACCTCCAGCTTGTTGTTGCTCACCACGTCCCGGAAGTGCTTGAGTGCGAACTGGACCTGAAACACCAGGGGCGGGCGCGGGGTTGTAGCAGCTCGTCGTCCTGCAGGGTTGGACCCCGTCGAAATGAAGCACGCCCACTCACCTGTCTGACGTGGGCGTCGAGGTCCTGCAGGGGGTTCCGCGAGGCGCCGCCATCACCCGCGTCGCTCTTGGTGGCCTTGACGGGGGTGCGCGCCTTGGGCGACTGCGGGGACCGCGACGCGGCCGACCCGCTGCCCCCCGAGCCGCCGCTCGACCCGCCCCCGCCTCCAGGGCCGCCGCCCGGCGACCGCATCTGGGAGAGGATCTCCAGAAAGTCGTCCTTGAAGGAGCGCGCGCGACGCGCCAGGCGACTTCCCCGCGGCTTGCCGTGGAACGAGCCGCCGTGCCGCCCGAGGCCCGAGCCGCCACCCGGTCCCGGTGCGCCCGGCCCAGCGGGGCCCCCGCTCCCGGGGCTGACGTCTGACTCTGAAACAGAAACAGGACGCTCATGGAGGAGGGCGCGACGGGCATGTGCCCGGGCAAACAAGGGGAGAGGCGGGGCGGAGCCCTGTCAGCGCCATCTCCACGGAACACACACGGGGCGACACAGATAGAAGGGCGACGGAAGTGCGAGACATCAGGGGAAACGGAGGGGCAGGACGCGACAGGGCGGCCCGGCGGCCGGGCCCTCGCTGTACAGGCACAGGCTCTTCGGCGAGGTGCGGAGGGAACTCCACGCTATATTGGGAGCGGCTCGACGCGGCGCGGCAGCGGGGTGCTCTGTGTATCATCGAGACTAACTCGCTCTCCCTCTCTCCCTCCCTCTCATCTCATCTCCGCGGAGGTGAAGGAGTGCTACTCACTCCTGGCTGTAATAACAAAGGCCGTCCGTCGCATCGCGTTGTCAAAAGGCACGTCCGGTGCGGCCGACCCAGCCGTGTGTTGGCAACACTGGAGTCGATACAAAACATCACGCGCAGCAGGGCCGCATCTCCTTTGGAGGCGTTCGTCACTTCGCCGAGTCGCCCATAGCCCCGCCTCGCCCCTCCCCCCTTGCAGAAACATGTTGTATCATTCGGGCACGTCCAGGCCGTGGAGGCGTGCCTCGGACGGGCGAGCGAGGGCCGGTGCCAAGGAGGCGCTCCCCTGCTGGTCAGTGGCCCGGCCCCGGCCCGGCTGGGCCCGGCCCTGGTGGCTCTGGGGTCTGCAGCCACTCCAAATCCACTCGCCCATTCATGCACACACTTATACACATCCTCCTCTTTGACGCGCCATCTCCAAAGTTACGAGGATGAATGGCCAGATACAACCTATGTCGTCATTTCGGCCGAAACCTGGCCCTGTCGTGGTCCCGAGGCTTGTGGCATCAGTCACATCACACACATCGCTTTGCTCAGCCTCGCTCACGCCTCGCGTTCGCGTTACTTTGGGCTATCATAGTGGCAGGGGCGGCGCTCGGAATGTTGCACATGCAGGGAATGCAGAGTGGACGCGGGGGGCGTGGCCGGTGCGGTGCGCGCCGGCGCCCCCAACGGTCCGCACGAGTGACGCTAACCACCCCTCCCGCGGTTCTCCCATCATCTCCCCCCCCCCTTCCTTTCCTTTCTCCCACGTGCACGCGCGCATTTTAAAAATACAGAGTGTTCGTTTGGCGGACGTCACGGGCGTGCTCATGAACAGGAGGAGGTTACGGTTGATTCGCCGGGCGCCGCGCGGTGAGTCACTAGCCGGTTGGCCGGCGCGCGGGGCGCGCAGCAGCTTAGTCAGGCCCAGGACGAGGCGCAGGGGGGCGTATAGAGTCGTTGGGACTTCCTCCGCGACAGCGTTTGTTGCAACTTCCGGACAGTCACCCCGCCACCGCCCGGGCTGCTGCGTCTTCCCCTGCGTGAAGAGGAAGGGCCACCCACTTGCCCGCCATAGGTCACTGTCAGGCCGGCCGGCCCGCATCAGCCCCTCCGCTGGCACGTCGCGCGTCTGGATGTGAGGCGGGGCGGGGGGCGGGCTTTCCCCGCCGAGGTGCAGGAGCAGCAGCTTTTTTATTCGACGGGGCGAGGGGGATGTGACGGGCCGTGTTCCTTCACCAGGATGACACCGGGTGCGCCGCGCTGTGCTGCGCTGCAGGCTGCTCGCGGGGCAACGGCCTCTGGCCCCGCGGCCATACCCGCGGCTCGCGCGCAGCTGTCCCGGCGCCCACAGCGCGGGCCTGAGGCTGCTGCTGCTACAACTCCGCTTTGGGGGTAATCTTCGCCATAAACAAGCCAGCGGCGGCAGCCAATCACTTTTGATGATAACACGCGGGCCGGCGGCGGCGGCGAGGGGTCGTCTAAAGTACGCGGCTCTATCAGGGGGAAGCTCCACATCCGGTCCAGCCGCGGCGGCGGCGGCACCGTCAAAGCCTCGTTATTGCATCAGGTATACTAGGGGGCTGGTTGGTTGGCTCCGCCCCCTATAGTCCTACAGTGCACTCAACGTCCCCCTGCCCCGTCGTCCCCCCGACAGTCAGGCTGTACCGCTCTCGTAGCGCCTGGTGGGTAGGCAACATCACGCCTGCCGTGCATGCGTGTATGGCGGGGTGGCCTATCCCGAGTCTTGCAGGCGCCGAGCCGCCGAGCTTCCTATAATGAATTAGAGCGAGCTACGCGAGCTAGACCCCTTCTTCGACAGGTGAGAGGGGGGTCGGGGTAGGCATTTAGCTCGCGTAGCTCGCTCTTTGCGGGGCTCTATAATGAATCTGAGAAGAGCTCGCCGCTCGGACGTACTTTCTGGGTGATCCCTCCTTATCCAACCCTCTCTGACCGCCTCACGACTGCTGAACCGTGACCCGACCGCGTAGGCAACCCACCACACGAACTCGCGCACGCTGTCGCAGTCCGCAGTCTGACAACGGGAGAGGGCGGGGCGAATCAGCCACCCGGTACATTTCATTGGCCCAATGCAAATGTAATCGCGGCCGCGAGAACGGAACTGTACACAATCAGCATTGTCTTCGTGCCAACGTTCTTGTTTCAACAAACGGGCTTTTAGCGTTTGTCGGGCGCATGCCAGAGGACGAAATATATGTCAGAAAATGCAACTGGCAACTTGCAACTCGTACCCTCAACGTGTAACTTTGCACTCGCTACTCGTTACTCGCACTCGCAGCTCCCCAAACTACATGTCTTCCTCCTCACCTCGATGATCACCAACAACGCTGCTTCTGTCTGCGCGGATACGGGGACCACTCACGGCCACAACAAGCTCGACGTCGTTGCCTTCCTTGGCGGATCCACACACTCGTTCGGCACCAACCAACCGTGTCCTGGGCGTGGCGCCAGCCGACTAGGCAGCCCTTCCACTCCACACACGCGGGCGGGACGACGCACCACACCGTCAACGCGCCGACGACAACACGCGCAGCGACGACACACGAGCGCGCCGCGCCTGCCTCTCCCGCGCACTGACGGGCCGTGCGGGCGAGAGGCAGGCGGGCCTAACCAGCGGAGACGCTGCTGCTGCTGCTGCTGGGCGGCAGGCGCCCTCCCCGCCCGCCCCCCGCGCACGCGCCGCCGCGGCCCGCGCAGCTGGGACGAGAGGGACCACGCGGAAGTCGCCGCGGCCGCGAGTAAATCTTTGTCGTCTAGTAGAGTGTACACGGTAAAAAAATCCAGCGTGAATTTTACCGACCCGGCGTGGCAACGCACCTTAACACGCGCTGGGCTGGGAATTTACATGCCCACATGGTCTGTGAATTCCCGGCCCAACCACCCGCGAAGTTACCAGCCCAGTGGGCAGGGGAGGTTGTCATTACAAGCCCAAACTGTAAATACACTACGTGGGCTGGAAAGGAGCCTTTGCTGGCCACCAATTTGCAAAAATGCAGGTCGCGCTAGCAGATCTGTCTTTCTTGCCCACCAACTGCGAATTCCCAG